TTAAAAGAAAATAACAGTTTCATGCTGTTTGCAAAAGAGACTTGAAATATAATGACCAAAAAAGAAAAAAGTTGAGAGTAAGGGGGAGTAAGTAAGTAAGCAAATACCAGGAAAATACTAACAAAACCCCAAGGTAATAACAGAACCAGATTAAAGAAAAAATAAATTAAGGAAACCAGATTAAAGGGGATGAAATCATTATGAGGGATACAGAGGATCCTTATTTAATGATAAAAAGAAACACTTTGCCAGCAAGTTATAAAAACTCCAAACCAGGATACATGGTGCTAACAAAACAGTCTCAAAATACAAGCAAATACTGATTTAATTACAGCAGAAATGGTAAAATCCACAATCATTACAGAAGCATGGATTTAAGGGAGAAAAAAGTTTCCTCTATGCTTTTTTTAAAGAGAAAACCTAATCCATAATGATACAAAAAGCTGAAAGGAATGAAAAAATATTTACCAAATCCTAAAGAAACCTCATGGAGAAATTTCAGTATCAGAAAAACAGATTTAAGACAAGTGGCTCAGAAAGTGACAAGCTGATCCTACAATAAACACTAAGATGTTGAAAAAGAACAGTAGGTAAGACCTCATCCTACCAGAACTCTGAACGTGTTAGCTATAATAAGGAAAACTGTGTGACAGTGGCACAAAGGCAGACAAATGGGCCAGTGAAGTCCATCTGGGCAGGTAAAGGAATCTGATACATGACAGTGCTGCATAATCACAGTCAGCAGAAAAGAAATGGCACAGAATAACTATCCATGTGGCAGAGGGGGGATTCAAAGTTAGATTCCTTCCCTCACTATATGCAAAATTAAACATCAAGCATACAACTAAATGTGAAAAACGAGACTTTAAAATATTTCTTAAAAATACAGAACAATGCCTTATTTTTTTCTTCAAGTTTTTATTTAAATTTTTGTTGGTTGGGACGCCTGGATGGCTCAGCGGTTGAGCATCTGCCTTCGGCTCAGGTCCTGATCCCGGGATTTGAGATCGAGTCCTGCTCGAGCCTGCTTCTCCCTCTGCCTATGTCTCTGCCTCTCTCTCTTTCCGTGTCTCTCATGAATAAATAAAATCGTTAAATAAACATGTAATAAATTAAATAAATTCCTACTAGTTAACACCCAGTGTATTTTCAGGTATAGAATTTAGCAATTCATCACTTACAACACCCCATGCTCCTTTCAAGTTAGAAAAGGATTTCTTGAATTTCTTAAACACGTATAAATCTCAAAAGAAAAAAAATGGGATAATTTCGACCACATTAAAAATAAAGATAGCACAAAGTTAAAAGGTAAGCCAGACTAGAGAGGATATTTACAGTAATAAAGGTTTAGCTTTCTGAATACATAAAGAACTCCTATCAAAAGGACCAAAGATCCAGTTTTTAAAAAAAAAAAAAGGCAAAGGCTACATACTGGTAACTCACAGAAGAGAACACCTTCTTGGTTAAAAAAATAAAGTGAAAAGATGCTCATTGTCGCTGGATGTTCAGTATTAAACAACTGAATTAAATGACAGGATCAGGCATAGGCCACCAACCTGAACGAATGATACGTGTTTGTGAGGGAGATGGTAAACAGAACCACCACTGCTGATAGGGAGTAAACTGGTACAACTATGGTGGTGACTACTAACATTTGGCAAAGTTGCAAGTGCATGTTCCACTTCTGGGTACATACCCTACAGCTGCTGTCAAACGTGCACACAAAGAAATATACACAAGAATGTTTTCTTTTCATGATACTAAAAAGTAAAGGGGCACCTGGCTGGCTCACCTGGTGGAGCAGGCAACTCTTGATCTCGGGGTTGTGGGTTCAAGCCCTGTGTTGGGTGCAGAGATTACTTACAAATATAATCTTAAAAAATTTCTAAAAAGTCAAGACCATCTGCAATGGCCATCAATTAGAGCAATTAATTAATTGTGGGATTCATCATACAATGGGATACGTGTACGAACACGTAGACTGTACATAGACTAGCTCTACACATATCAACATGTTAAATGTGAGAACATGATGCTATGTAATAAGTTTTAAAGGGATATGTATTGTGAGACCAATTATGCTTAGTTTAAAACAGGACACTATACACGGTAAATCATGAAGGGTAAGGATATGCACAAAAAGGATAGTAGCTCTTGGAAGGACATGACAACAGGGAGGTTTTCAATGGATAGGCAGCTTTTTGTTTATTTAAAAAGAAGGATCTGAAGTAAATAAGGAAAAGGTTAACAGTGGTTAAATCTGGGTAGTGACTATATGTCAACACTCTTGGCTGCAAACACTAGGATCTGCTCTAGCCAGTTTAAGCAAAGAACAAATGGCTGGCAAATGGGCTCAGGCTTGGGAATCCAGTTACACAACTTTGAAAAATGCCATTGCACAGGGAGAAGTACAGAGCATGGCCCACTTTGCACCAACTGCCTTGAAAGCCACAAGTCACTTCTCCCCTAACAAAACGTGCCACTCTATCTTCACAGAGCCACATCCAAAGTTCATATGTCTAACTGGTGACCTCGGATGCCTGTCTGAGCCCCCAGTGACAAGGAAATTCTGGAAATTACATTTCAGTCTTCTACTTGGTTAGATAAGATCCATAAAGTGGGAGAGTCACCAGAGTAGATACTGAAGCAGTACTAGGTACCCAAAAAGCAGGACAAATTCCACTCACACAGGCATTAAATCATTTTCCGTATTTTCCTGTATGCTCCAAATAGTTCATATTTAAAAAAAAAAAATCAAAATACAAATCCACCAAGGGTATGGAAGAGGAAAGCAGCAGCAAATTTCCAGGAATTTCCAAAAGACGTGACTAATATAACAGTAGAGGATGTCACCATTTAGAATATTAAGTGGAGGGAGCCCATCACAAGAGAACCAACCTGCCCAGATGGGCTTGGAGAACTCAAGAGGTGTAGAAAACAGAAGAGGAGCTTAAAAGAAAGAGATTAAAAGTCTATACAAACCACTTGACCTTGACCCCACATCTCCTATCTCCAAATATGGAAGGATATGGATTCTGGTCTTTCCTCCCAGGTAAACTATTGCAGGGATCTCATGAAATAAGTGGAATAAGCTCTCTGCTCTGAGAAGAATGAGAGCAGTCAGTATAGAAATCTGTCACCAAGACACAAGATCTTTTCTTTCTAGCATTTAGAAAATCTCCAGCATAATAGCCAATGTCGGTGACACAAGTTCAATTAAAAAGATTAGGATATAAAAGCCATAAAAAGGGGGGGGGGGTCAGGGGATACAGAAGACCAATATGGAAGATCCAAAATCCAACTAAACACTATTAAACAGAAAAAGGGAATAAAATATTTAGAAAGAAAAAAACTTTCTAAGCTCAAGAGATGTTAAATTAAAAGTACCACCTGGGCAGCCTGGGTGGCTCAGCGGTTTAGCGCTGCTAGGGCCCAGGGTGTAATCCTGGGGACCCGGGATAGAGTCCCACGTCGCACTCCCTGCGTGGAGCCTGCTTATCCCTCTGCCTGTGTCTCTGCCTGTGTCTCATGAATAAATAAAATCTTAAAAAAAAAATTTGAAAGCACCAAAGAGAACAATTAAAAACCTAGATACAGATACAAAATTTTACTTTATAACACCAAGAACATTAATATCCTAAAAGTATCCAGTGTGTATGCATGTGGGTGTATGGCAGGGCAGGTGGTATGAAAGAAGGCAGGGTTGCAGAGAATAGTTTATATGAAAAAGGAACAAAATCAGATGGGTATCAGTCTTTTTCATTAGCAACATCAGATACCAAGAAGATCCTTGAGTTGCTTGCAAAGTCTTGACAGAAAACTATTTTTCAATCTACAATTCTCTACCTAGCCAGTTGAACCAATGTAAGTTGCCAAACAAAGCTACTTTAGACATGCGAAGGCTCACTTAGACAGTTTTTCTCAAGATGTAATTTACTAGGGACTCCAGCACAATGAAGTTAATAAAGGAACAGGAAGATATGGTCTCTAAAAGTAGATTCCACCCAGGGAAGAAATAAAATCTTCAGAAGAAACCTGTGCACTAAGGCCAGGAATAAATTTCTTAGCAAAACAATTTTTAAAAAACTGATAATCAAGACTTGCCCCAGGCATGGGGAAGCAGTCACTCTTCACTGCTGTAGGGACAGCCACGTGGCAAAATCTTTTGGAAGCTAAGATCGGATAGTACCTGCCAAAAATTCTGTCAGAAATCTATTCCTACAAAGTATTTATACATGAGATGGTGCAGAGCAGTACACGAGAGCATGTGAGTGTAGTTACCTGGATCCAAATTCCAGATTTGCTACTGGCCAGTTCTATGGTCTGTCAGTTTCCTCACTTACAAAATGGAAATGCCTTCTCAACACATTGTGAGGATTAAATAAGAGATTCCATGTGAAAGGCTTAGCATCATGGCCAGTATATAGTAAATACTAAATTAACTTTGTAAATCCTCAGCTAATCTATCCACAAAACACTTGCCATTGTACACAAGGATGTTTATTGTGCCATTGTTTAAAATAGCAAAAGTGCAAACTAGTATGATTATTTATGCTTTTAAAAGATTCCATTTGTATTTGTACATATATGTTTATAGATAAAAAAGGATTGAAAGAGAAAACATGTCAAAGTGTTACATCTGCGGAGTCAGATGGCACAGGGTTGTTTCTGCATAAAATTTTTATTGTGAACAGCCTATGTAGTTTTAACCTTTAAAGAAAGTAAAAAGTAAAAAAATAATAAACAACCATATAAATCAAATGGAGAAAAATGACAGCTAATCTTTTTTTTAAAAAAGATTTATTTATTTGAGTGAGAACCCAAGTGGGGGGAGGGGTAGAGGGAGAAAAAGAATCCCAAGCAGACTCCATGCCAAGCACAGAGCCTGACACAGGGCTCCATGTGAGATCATGACCTGAGCTGAAACCAAGAGTAGGACACCCAACCCACTGAGACCCTCCGGTGTACCAACAGTTAATAGTTATAAGCAAACACAAATATTTCATAGAAAACTTTTATTTTAATTTACTATACATATTTAAATTTTAGGAAGTCACTAGGTCGATGCACTTTCCTCTGTAGGTTTAGTTTGATCTTCAGTTACCTGTAAATACACAAATACTTTATTTTTCTAATAACCACTTTTAGTTTTACCTTTCACCCACCATTTTAAATCATTCACAGCCCCTCTCCTATAATGACCGTTGGTCTTTCTCCTTCATTAGTAATTATTATAGAAACTTAAGCAGAAAAAGAAGAAAACTTACAAGGCCAGGTTCCCAATATATCAAGTAAAGTACAACAATTTCATTAAAAATATAATCTGAGGCGTGTCTAGACTTCTCCAGCTTGTAATTTTATTTTTCAATTACAAAATAAAATCATTCATGTGAGAAAAATACCAGCAATGCTATAACACGGTATTTTAAACCAACAGATTTTCTTGGAAGGTATAATTCTATTTTAAATACAGTGTATCACAGGTTTAGTAGAAATACGTATGTCCGTATTTCTATTCTGTGTCACTCAAACACATCAAACAGTTAAACTTAGTCCTCACCATCCCAATATCCACCCCCCCTCCAGCATTATCTTTCTCAGTGAAGGGCTCTACCCAGCTCTCCACACCTGCCATTAGAGAATCTGTGGTTCTCTTACATGCATATTCAATCAATAGTCCTAATTCTACCCAAGTGGCTCCCACTGTGGCACCTGAACTTCAGGATCTCATCACCTTCTATCCCTCTAACAAGACTGCTGGCTTAAGTCACAGCTTTCTTCCACACTGCCTCAGAGTAAGCTTTTAAACATGAATAGCTGACCAATAGGTCACTTCCTTTTTCAAATTCTCCAGTTACCTCTAATCACTTCCAGGAGGGGAATGCAAATTCCGTATTATGGAAGACAAGCTCCTCATATGCTATCTCCAACAGACTTTTTTTTTTTAATACATTTACTTTTTATTGGTGTTCAATTTGCCTCTCCAACAGACTTATTTTGTTGGACCCATCACCCACCCTACATATGAATGTACATTCAGGTTCATCTTAAATTCACCACGCTCTCCATTCCTCCATGCCTCTGGCAAGCAGCTTCCTCTGAGATAATGCCCAACCCATCCCCCAGCAAATTATCTGCCAGGCCCACTTTTAGTCATCCTTTAAAGCTAGCGTAAGCAACACCAATCCCTGGGAACCTCCTTTAACCAACCCATCAGCTTAGTATGGGTCCTTTTCTGTATGCTAGAACTCCACATGTACACCCAACTGTGGGCTTGTAAGTCCAGTTATCCAGTAAAGTAACTTCTCTGAGGCCAGTAAGTAGGTTTTGTTCATTTCTGTATCTACAGCTCCTGCCACATAACAGACACTTGGTATGTCTACGTTAGTTGAATTAATGAACCATATCTTTAACCCATTCCTTTTAAACAAGCAAAATGGAAAGAAGGAAGCTGAACCAGAATAAATGTTGCAAAAACAGCTACTCACTGATTCTTATTAGATACTCTGGGTTACTTCCTCTACTATTTTTCTACGTTATATACTCATTTCTTCTCTAGTTTCTTAATCTAAAATGATCATTATGATGAAGGGGATTAAGAGCACACTTATTGTGATGAGCACTGAGAAATGTACAGCATTAATGAATCATTATATTGTACATCTGAAACTAACAGCACTGTGTTAATACTTGAATAATGTATAAATTAAAAATAAATAATAAAATGATCATGTGACCAAAGAGACAAAATTATTCTACCCATTCAAAAATATTTTCTCTTCATGAGAAAATTAGATGTAATCTTTACACAAGAATATTATGACTATGTGCCTCAACAATAAATTCTGTCTGTAAAATTATTAATAAAGACTAGGTTTGTACATCATCATAAAAAAATAATTGCATAGAACACATACCAAAGGTTGGGCTCAAAATTTGGCATGACATATATATATAACAAGCCCTGAATGGGTTTAACAGACTGACTATAAATGTACCAGCAAAAACAATTAGAAAACCACATGAGGAGGTAGATAACAAGTGGAAATTTTAAGAATGGATGTTTGTTTAGAGATTATTCTGCTAAACATGAAATGTTCAATGAAGATCATAAGACTTGGATGAGGTACTGAAGAATAAGTAGGATGTATTCTATTATAGACAGGAAAAGAAATGGAAACAGATCCAGACAGAAAAACTGTCATGAATAAACAAACTTGAAAATAAGTCTGAGTTAACAATACTAATATCATATATTTGAAAGTTAGTAAGAGTAGATTTTAAAAGTTCTCACCACATACACACAGAATATGTAACTCTGTGAGGTGATGGGAATGCTAACTCACCTTACTGTGGTAACTAGTTTGCAATACATACATATCTTGAATGATTACAACATACATCTTAAACTTAGACAACACTATATGGAAGTTATAGCTCAGTAAAGCTGGGGAAAAAATAAAGTGATATAAGACTGGAAGAGAAGAAGAAGAAGAAGAAGAAGAAGAAGAAGAAGAAGAAGAGAAGAGAAGAAGAAGAAGAAGGAGGAGGAGGAGGAGGAGGAGGAGGAGGAGGAGGAGGAGGAGGAGGAGGAGGAGGAGGGAGGAGAGGAAAGAAGAAAGAAGAAAGAAGGAGGAGGTGAAGGAGAAGAAGGAGGAGAAGGAGGAGAAGGAGAAGAAGAAGAAGAAGAAGAAGAAAGAAGGGAAGGAAGGAAGGAAGGAAGGAAGGAAGGAAGGAAGGAAGGAAGGAAGGAAGGAAGGAAGGAAGGAAGGGTTTGATGTGTGTTTATAAGCTTGACTAGAGTGGAAAATTAGGGTAACTACGAAGGGTTCATGAGGCCAGATTACACAGAATAGCTATCAGATAATGTAAGTAAAGGATGAGCACTTAGTCCATGAAAGAGTAAATAGGGACAGAATAGCCAAAAAATATAATCATTCGTACTTGTGAAATCTAAATGCTAATGACACAGAATGAACTAAAAACACAAGTACTCAAATACTGTTTTTCAGGACATTTGCACATTGAATATGACAACCAATAGTCAACGCAGCTTTAAAATACATCTGAAAAATCTTAATCTTTAAATAAATGCTCATTAAGCTTACAAAAAAATTATCAAAGACCTAATTAACCCACTGGACCCACTAAGAACTATCACCTCTACAGAGCAGTATTCTTATTCTTCTTCAAGTTCTACAGTATCATTTCAACGATAGTAACAAACAAAAACAGGAGAATTGCCAAGTTACAACCATTCTCTTGCCAACATTCTACTGGAGTCAACAACTATAACACTGCTATAACACTGCTTTAGCTATTAAGACAACTAATTACTTTTTTCTTTCATTTTCTTTTCTCTTTTTTATTTGTTGTTGTGTTGTTGCTTAATTCCAATAAAAATTTCTTCATGAACAGTACTCGTTAGCTGTCAAAAAACACTTACCATTTTCCGAGATCTTTCCAATAGTTTATGCCATATAGTAAAATGTGCCTTGAAAAGAAAAGATTCACTATGAATTAAATAGAGCAATAAACTAAAATAAAAGGAAATGAGTCTTACATAGGTTTTAAACAAAAACATAAGAAGTCAGGAGGTACTAATGAGGCTAAATGGTTACAGAAGTAGAGAGTAGGGGGAAAAGGTACTTTACAGGATAGCTGCTTCATTTAGCATGTAAGGAAAAAAAAAAGTACTAAAAATGCCATTCCTCCTCTTTTATCCCTCCTCATCATTACCATAACAGACAGCACTCCTTCTAATGGGAAGCAAAACTCTGCCCCACTTTCCCATGGGCTGCAAGTCTTTCCGTAAATAGCCATTTTCAACAAACTAGAGGTCATTCTTCAATCACTAGCAATCACAAGGAGAGGTTCATCAAGAACCAACAGTGACCGACAGTGACATCTTCATGCTGAAACGGCAGTTCTACAGGATTTAGCAAACTAACCCAAAGAACAAGAAAAACTAGTGAAGACAATAATAAGATTATAGAACCAATTTATTTAATCCTTAACAATTTTATATAGGAGGGGAGTCTCAGAAGGCATAGATGAAAACTGTGCAAAATGCATAAGGATCACACCAATTTTACTAAGTCATTTAAAGGTGATACTGAGGGGGACACCTACGTGGCTCAATAGTTGAGTATCTGCCTTCAGCTCAGGGCATGATCCCTGGACCAGGGATTGAATCCTGCGCAGGGAGCCTGCTTCTCCCTCTGCCTGTGTCTGCCTCTGCCTCTGTGTGTCTCTTATGAATAAATAAATAAAACCTTAAACATAAATAAATAATAAATAAATAAATAAAATAAAGGGATACTGAAGGATATGTGTGGGCCAGTGACACCACACTGAATAACCTGGTAAAATCCAGGATAAAAGGTAAAATTACTATATGCATGTATAAATCCTTCTGGAGAAAAGATCAGCATCACATGTTTAAAAAGAAAATGATGGACAGCTGGTGCAGACCCTACAATGTGGCTGATGGAGAAAGTGGTATGAGAGGTCAGAGAGGCAGGCAAGGGCCAGATAACGTAGGGTTTTGTGAGACACGGTACAGGGTTGGTATTTTTATAAGAAGCCCCTGGAATGTTTTGGGCAAAGGGATTACATGATCTCATTTGTGATGAAAAAGGTTATTTGGCTACGAAGTAGAAAATGTGTTTCGGTGGGGGCAGAAGTGAAGGGATGAAAAATACAAGCAGTTTGGAAAGGGTAGTGGTAGTAGATGAGACGCTACACAACTGAGGGACTTGGCATGTTTTAGAATTAAGAGTTTAAAAGATTTGCTGATGGATGTCATGGGGCATGGATGGGAGGGAAACAGAATCAAGGATTACTTCACATCTAAGTAGATGATGGTGTCATTTACTGAGATGCAGAAAGCTAGGAAAAGAAACAGATATGTGGAAAAAATCAAACATGTAAAGGACAAAAGCTAAAAAGTACAAAACGCTGATGAAGGATTTAAATAAAAGATACACTATATTCATAGACAAGAAGATACAATTTAGTAAAGATGTCAATTCTCTGGGATGCCTGGGTGGCTCAGCAGTTGGGCATCTGCCTTCAGCTCAGGGCATGATCCCCAGTCCAGGGATTGAGTCCCACACTGGGCTCCCTGCAAGAAGCCTGCTTCTCCTGTCTATGTCTCTGCCTCTTTCTCTGTATCTCTCATGAATAAATAAGTAAAATTAAAAAAAAAAAAAAAGATGTCAATTCTCTCCAAATTGATATAAAGGCTTAATACAATTCTATCAAAATCCCAATAAGACTTGTCAATACAAAATGATTATCCCAAAATTAAATAAAAAGGCAAAGAATCTAAAATAGTTTAAACAATTTTCATAAATAATAACATAGGATGAATTATTCTACTTGATTTCAGGAACTGTTTATAGCTACAGTAATCAAGACTGTGATAGTGGCAGAAGGACAGACACACAGATCAATGGAACAAAATAGAGAACCCAGAAGAACCATACGAATATACCCAACTGATTTTTAACAAGGGTGCAAAAGTAATTTAATGGAGGAAGGACAGCCTTTTTAACAAATGATGTTGGAGCAATTTGACATGTATAGATAAGAAAAATGAACTACAACCTAAATCTCATACCTTATACAAAATTTAGCACAAAATGAACCACAGACTTAAATATAAAACTATAAAACTTTTAGAGAAGAGAATCTTTGGTATCTAGGTCCAAGCAAAGAAATCTTTGAAGTAACACCAAAAACATAATCCATAATCAGAAAAAATGATAAACTAGACTTCATCAAAATTAAAAACTTCTGTTCCACTAAAAACTTCTGATCTTTTGTTAAGAGGATAAAAAGACAAACTACTGATAGAAAATATATGCAATACATATTTAACAAAAGACTAGTATCCAGAATATACTGGGAAAAAACTCAAAATTCAACAGTAAAAAAGCAAACAATCCAATTAGAACATAAGCAAAAAACATCAACAGACTTTTCACCAAAAAAGATACACAGATGGCAAATAAACACATGAAAAGATGTTCAACACAATTAGCCAACAGGAAAATGCAAATTAAAACGACAGTGAGAAATCACTATAAACCTATCATAGTGGCTAAAATAAAAAATAGTGACAATGTCAAAAGCTGGCAATGATCAAAAAACTGATTACTAACACATTGCTGGTGAGAACAGTAAAATGGTAGTCACTCTGGAACACAGTTTGATGAGTTTCCTAAAAAAAACTAAGTATGTGCCTACCATTTGACCCAGCAATTGTACTCCTGGGCATTTATCCCAGAGAAATTAAAACATATATTCAAAAAAACCTGTACACAAATGCTCACAGCAGCTTTATCCATAATAGCTAAAAACTAGAAACAACCCAAATATCCTTTAACAGTTGAATGGTTAAACAAACCACAGTAGATCCATGTCACGGAAGACTGCTCAGCAATAAAAAAGAAACTACTATTGATACACAGAACTTCAATGAATCCTCAGAGAATTACACTGAGTGAAAAAAAGTCAATCCCAAAGATTATATAATGTATGATCCCACTCATAATATTCTTGAAATGAAAATTTGTAGAAGAGACTAACAGTTGGCAGGGGTTAAGGAGGTGGGGGTAGGGCAGAGGAGAGTGAGTGTGGCTACAAAAGGCAATCAGGAGAAAGCCTTGTGAAGAGATTGTACTGCATCCTCACTGTGTCAATGTCCATACTCTGGTTGTGAAACTGTACTACACTTTTGCAAGATGTTATCATTAAGGAAACTAGGTAAAGGTACTTGGGATCTCTATATTATTTCTTATAACTGCATGTGAACCCACACAGATTTTTAATTATCTCAAAATCCAAAGTTGAATTAAAAAAAAAAAGCATTAACAAGGGGTGGGAACAATATGGAAAATAACTCTGGGTCATGGGTCATGAATAGATCAGAAAAATTAGGGAGGAAGAGCCTGCCAAACCTAAGTCCACAAGGCATTCCAGAAGATCCTACCAATGTGCACTCCAATAATCCTCAGTGTACCCTCCTCCCTTATATTAATTTGAAAAATTAAAATTACTATCTCAGTTTGATTCAAGTTTTTCAACTAATATTTCTTTCGTTGAATGATCTATTTATATTCCAGGGAAAATTGTTTTTATCATAAACCTGAATTTACAAAGTATTAATGTCATATAACTTAATGAAAATCATAATGTATGTCCTTCAAATTGGTAGAAAATCAAGATCAGAATCACACCCACCCTCAAACTGGACAACCTGAAACTTTAAGCTTTACTTACTCTTAAGTGTACAGGTAAAGACAGACCCTGGAATCTTCGTACAAGATTCAACTGGTTGGCTTGAAGATTATGAACTGCTGACACTTCATACTGGAAACAAATACTAGTTCTTGGAATGAGAGGACCCTCACTCACATCAATGAAGTCACCAAATCTAATTTGATATTAAAAACAAACAAACAAAACTTCAAAATCAAACCATTTATAGTAGTTTGGAAAAAATCTATTCATTCTCTTTGGGAAAATGTCCCTAAATCAAGAACATTCCATGAGGTATGTTCAATTCAGTCTCTATTGCTCCTGATACAACAATCTCACACGACGAGTTAAAACTATGAAAATTAATGTCAAGTGACCTTGTTCTTTATTAGCATTGATATAACTTTAGAGATTTTTAAGATCACTGAACATATCACGCTATCAAGTGAATCCAATGTCTAAAACTGATCTACCACTTCATATATAAACTCATTGCAGAGTTTAGAACTCACTGTATACAACAGATTGTCCAAAGAGCAGCTTTGTAGAAGAAAAATATTAACTGAGTCAAGAAAACATGAGGCTGAGAAAACAGAGGCCATGAAGTCACTTCTGCATATGCATTGTCCTACCTCCCTCATCCCTGTATCAGAAAGCACATTCCTAGTTTACTTACTTATATGTAACATAAGTAGTAATTAACTAGTCAGTATTCATATTTGTACATAGACATGAATCACGTTCAATTCGTAACAATGAATATTTTGCCCAGTTTCAAAATTAACTTTTAAAAATCACATTTTTAAAGGATGTTTTCAACTCTCAAAATGCGGAAATAAAAATAACAATAAAATGAGGAACAGAAACTACAACTGCTCCTGAAGATAATTTAAATCTCCCAGGTACCACCATACCAAAACAATGAACAAAGCAGCAGAAATTAACGTATTAAGAATAACAAACTAGGGTACAAATTCATCTTTTTCAGTCATACACTACGTTCAGGTAACAATAAAGCTAAGCCTTCCTATAAATTAGCATGACAGCCAATGTATTTTTACTCACCTGTGTAGCTTAACTATTCTCTCAGGGTTCTGAGATGCCTTCTCTTCTATGAAATCCATTTTGTACCTAAAAAGCAACAAAGGAAAAAAAAAAAACTTTTCCATATATATATATATATATATATATATATATATATATATATATATATAAAGGTGTTTATCCCTCCTCCCTTTCTCTTCCTCTATAGCCATAGTTTTTGAAAGAAGGGTTTACACTTGGAGCCTCCCTTCCTTGAGTCTGGCCACAGCCTCACAACTGCACCAAACTGTTGTCCCCAAAGCCACAGGAACTTCCCTGGTTTGAATAGAATGGACACCTTTCTGTCCTCATTTCCACTGCTCACCTCCACCTCTCCAATTGCTCTTTTCCACCAGCTTCCATGACACTCCCTGTTTGTTATTTTAACTCTCTGGCCACTTTTCCCCTTCTCCACCCTCCAGGGGACCTGTCCTATAGCCTCTTTTCACAAAGCATCCTCCCTGGGCTGGCTCCTGAATGTATGCAGCTTTAATTACCACTTCTGCATTCCTCTCTTCCACAGTTCAGCTTCTAATCCACATCCCTCTCTGAGCTCTGAACTAGAGATCTAAGACCCTCCTGGACATCCACTACGATGTTCCAGAAGCATCTTATATTCTGCAATTCTCTCTCTTTTTTTAAAGATCTTATTTATTCATGCATGAGAGACACGGAGAGAGAGGCAGAGACATACGGAGAGGGAGAGCAGGCTCCCTGCGGGAAGCCTGATGCGGGACTCGATCTCAGGACCTTGAGATCACAACCTGAGCTAAAGGCAGACGTTCAAACACTGAGGCACCCAGGCATCCCTTATACTCTGCAATTCTCAAACAGAATAAAAACTTACTCCTTTTCCCACCAAACATATTCTTATTCCTGAATTCCCTAACTTAGTAAATGACAGTCAACCTCAGAGATTTCCTGCTTCTCCTGTCACATCCCCTCCATCTAATTCATTGCCAAGTCATGTCAATTCTACTGCCTAAACATCTGTCAAATCTACCCAATCCTGTCACTACAGCTAATAGCAGAGGCGGAACTAACTGCAAAGCCCAGGTTCAAATCAAAACTTTACCACTCACTACTAAGAGCTTTGTCCCTCTCTACCCCAGAGCTAAATGAATACTACGTGTGTGTATGGAAGGTTGGGAAGCATTAATTCACACAAAAACATCCACTTACTGCCACACCCCTCTGCCAAAGCCCCCCATACATTATTAAGGGAGCCAATTCCCTTGAATACTTGTCCCTTTTGCCCTACCTCTAAGAGACGTACCTGTCCCGAGAGCCAAAACCACTGAAGGCTCCCCCTATAGCAGAAAGGCTCAATCACTGATCTATCTCTAACCATCCAAAATTTTCTGTCCCCTCAAACTTGCCCCCAGACCATCCCTGCCTGGTTCCATACATTCAACTAACTTTTCAAAGTCCTCCAAGCCCCTCCTAAACTTTGGAAGCGAAGTGGAGGGAATGGGAAATCTCCTTGAATGAACATCTATAGTACACTACGATAGCTATGGACCACTTAAATATAATTAGTCCTAAATGAAATATGCCTCAAAAGTAAAACACATCAGATTCTGAAGATTTGTATGAAAAAGAGAACATAAAATATCATCAATTTTGTAATATCACATGTTGAAATAACATTTTAGATATAGTTTAAACAAAACATATTATTAAAATGTTATAACTTCACCTTTTGACTTTTTTAATGTAGCTATTAGAAAATTCAGTTATATAGATGGCTCACATTATCTCTCTATTAGACAGCATGACCCTAGAATGGCAGCACAGAAGTGTCTTGACATGTTCTGATAATCAAAGGAATATTCTTTTTTTTTTTTTTTTTAATGATAGTCACACAGAGAGAGAGAGAGAGAGAAAGAGAGGCAGAGACACAGGCAGAGGGAGAAGCAGGCTCCATGCACCGGGAGCCTGACGTGGGATTCGATCCCGGGTCTCCAGGATCGCGCCCTGGGCCAAAGGCAGGCGCCAAACTGCTGCGCCACCCAGGGATCCCTCAAAGGAATATTCTTATAGAATCAATGGTAGTTTGGTTCTACAGAACTTTCTGCAGTCTAGTTCAGTTTAAATAGTAAGTACATCCCTACTGTTTTTAAGTCTGGTTCCAGGATATGTGAAATATTATAAACTAATCCTATGAGAACTTACATCTCAATTTATAAATACTTAAAGAAATTCCAATCCATAACATTGAACAATTTGCAGGGGCATATTCTGTCTTGAGAATCTAGTATCTATGTTATGTTTTTCACAATGCAGATTTCCCTAATTAGTTGTAATTTCAATCAGATTAATGTTAAAATATAGTTTATGTTGTTACAATTAGTAGAAGGTAAATTGGAAGTTTTCTGAGTGGGAAAGGGAATTGAGGACCCAGGGAGGATTTAAAATGTTGACAAAGAAAATCCACCAGGTGGGTAATTCTGGTACAGAAGACTAAGACTGGCTCTATGAATGTTTTACTTGGGCAGTTAGCTCCCTCCAGACAACTGGCATCCTCTGTCTCACCCTTGTCATTTAAAGAGCAGGAGGATGAGAAGGAAAGGCTGCCAAATGAAAAAACATAATACAGTTCCATACATTATATCACTTCATGATGGGAGGAAAAAGGGGAAACACACTGTGATGTTGCTACAAAGCGAAGGACTGGCCAAAGAAACAGAGAAATAAGAAAAAGTGAGAAAATTACGGAAGGTGGGGGAGGGGTTTTTTCCGTGAAATAAATGAGATGAATCACAGTAAATAGGCTGGTACAGAAAAAGAGATCTTAAAGCTAAAAATAAAGTGTCTTATACACATTAAACATAAAGATTCTGAAGAACTATTTTCTTCATTACATATAATTTTGGGAGGTTTAATCTCACTTCCAAAGAAGCCAACACTTACTTGTTGTGCTGAAATATTTCTAATGCCACTTTTGCTTCCACTTCCAGAGTTTCAAATGGAAGATCTTTATAAATTAAAGCACGAGCATCTTTTGTGAGGGAACGTAGGTTCTCCTTCAAAATGAAAGTATTAACTTTTTGTAACAACATAAAAGCATTTCTCCATAAGGCAGATAAGATAAAACTGTAAGCTAAATATTATAAACCTAACTAAAAGAAAAAGCAAAAGCAAATTTGTTAGGAAAGAAAATTATTAATTTATAACAATTAAATATTTGGACCATAAAATGTAGGGTTAGCAATTTATCCCAATCTATAAACTATGAAACTTGTTATTTACTTGTAATTAAGGTCCCAGCCTATATTAATAGTTATTAAAGATAATCCTACAAAGAAATCTTAAACATTTTAAGTTATACAACCTCATAAATGTTTATTAAAACAATGACGCAACTGGAAATACTAATAAAAGTACAAACATTTGTTTACATTGTAAACTACACTTTTTTAAATGCACAGGAAAAAAATCATTGTCATTCTGAAAGTTTCAGCAGGAAATGTAATGTCGTCATTGGCCCTGCCCAAAATACAGCATATATCTAATATTAAAAATTCTCATTTAATGAAAAGTCACTTTTATGCAATTAAAATGATTAATACACATTAACAATATTTATGATTTTAATAAAAACTGTAATTAAGTTTTCATATTATAAATCATTACTAATACAGAAAAGACCAAGCACTGTTACGCAAGTGATTTTTGTAAGAAAATTCTTTCCATAAACTTCCTATTAGACTTTTTTGCATGAAATGACTCTTCTCCATTCTTAATGGCACCATTTATAATAAATTCACATTCATGATTTTATCCAACTGTTACTTGAATGTAACTCTCTACCACTTTTTCTAAATGATCCACCTAACCCCATGGTGCCTGCAATTAGCTAGTATTTTTTTTTAAAGTTTTATATTTAAAAAAAGGATAAGGAAAAAAAAAGGATAAGGAAGCAGCAAGTTTCATAGATAATGAGAACCAAATCTTGATCTTATTAGTTTTTACTCAACTCCCCCAATACAGTGAGAATCCTTTCTTAAATTTGAGGGCATATCTGAAAAAGAAATTAAACTGACACAAGTTCAGAGATCAGAAAGAAAGAGTTTGGTCTCTTCCCTGCCCTGTGGCCCCCCACCTTTCTTTCTACTCTCTTCCCTTTCTCCTTTTCTCTCTTTGTTCCTTCCTGTTTCTCTCCTTCCTCCTTCATGATATTAAGCAATTTAAACAGGATTATACTAGAAATAACTTCCAAAGCCAGAATTTAAACCTGGATCTGCACGGACTCCAAAATTTTGCTTTTAGAAACTACAATATTTCACTAAATCTAAAATGTACCACTAAGGAAAAAACACTACCAATTACAAGATGCTAGCTACTGTAAGACACATTTTTTTCAGAGAGATTAAAATGTGAAAAAAATATACACTGTACCATTGATAAAATGGTATGGTACACCACCTTTCTTTTTCTGATCTCCAAACTTCTAATTTGCAAGACATATAGTTTTGCTTAAGAATCAGGCATTTGCCTCTTCTCCCCAGTCATAAAGTGAATTTCTAGGCTTAACATCTCAAGGTCATCAACACACCCTCCCTACAGAGCATCTGTTTTAGATCGTCCTTGTTAGCCAGGTCCCTGGTGCTACCCAATTCCTAGACCTAGAACACTCATTACACAACCAGATCGTTTACCAAGAGTCTAGTTTGTTGCAATTTGAGTTAGTTTTGTCAAAGTCTGATTCTTAATTCACTCTACTTGTCTACTTGTGTCTTCTCCCTCGTACATAGGGAGATCTCACAGTATGCAACAGGCTAAAATGGTTTAGGGCAGTGGTTTCCAAATTATGCTCTGAGGATCTAAGAAAGTAAGGAGGCTCCAGACCTCCCACCACCACATCAACCAAGGTGGTTCAGCTTCTTCTGTATTTTATATTCCGGGCATCTTGAAAACTACTATCTTAAGAAACAGAATGAACAGTACCAGGAAGAAAGTACTTTAAGCAGGCTATAAAGCTTGCATAGAACTGACCATATTATGAATACCCCCATTAATTTGCCTCTATCTTGAATACACTGAAAAAGCACAACACGGATAGATAGCTATGTAAGTGGTATCTTTTAAATATCCTCAACATAGGGGACCCCTGGGTGGCTCAGTGGTTTAGCGCCTGCCTTCAGCCCAGGGCGTGATCCTGGAGTCCCGGGATCAAGTCCCATGTCGGGCTCCCTGCATGGAGGCTGCTTCTCCCTCTGCCTGGGTCTCTGCCTCTCTCTCTCTCTCTCTCTCTCTGTCTCTCATGAATGAATGAATGAATGAATAAATAAATATCCTCAACATGCAGTATCATTCAACAATACTGTTATAGGAATCATTCTAACAAAGAAAGGCACAGATTCTAAAATTAGTATTCCAAACACTATACTTACTTTTGTTGGCATCCACTCATCAAGTCTCTTATCCAGAACTACATCATAGCAGAAGGCTCCACAGATTACTGTAAATTCAACCAAAATGAAAGGCAAAATCAAATCTGTCACAGAATTACTAATTGGCAACAATTAAATATTTAGACCATAAAATGAAGGGCTAGCAACCAATCTCTCTCAACTCTACAAATTATAAAACTGTAACCATTACCCCAGTTCTTGCCAGAGCTCTACCAACTTTCCCCTTCCCAAAAAACTAACTCACCTTTTGTGAACACAAAATCACTCGTATTTTTTTAAACACTCATATTTTCTTCCAGAATATTATCACTATAGGTATTTCAAATAATTACTAGGCATAAAAATTCTAAAAGAGTAAGATATTTAATATGTAGATGAATGAATAAATGGACACGAAACGAATTTCTTTTTTAATGTCTTCTAAACGTCTTCATTTTTGTTTCGTTATTAGAATCATTCATTGAGCTTTTTAAATATTTTTGGTGCAAATATTTCTATCTTTTTAAAAAAAATTACAAATGTGATCCTACCACACATACTGACCCAAAATCCCAGTTATATCAAAATTACAGAGTGTAAACTCTCCCATCTCCCCCAAATGGTGTCCCTCTCCAGAGTGATGGCCATTTTCTGGTGAAATGGTGCCACCTAAACACAGCTTTCTCCAGAATTCTATTTATACTCTCATTTCCTCCTCCTCCAATTCAATTTAGAAATACATGCTTAAAGTGATAGAAAACAAACCCCAAGACAACGTAATTACATGAAATTCATATTAAAAAAAAAAAACACATTCTCCTTGAATTCTATTATGTTAATTATTGACCTCCAAAAATTAAATAAGATGACTACATTACCCACTATAAATGGAATATATGTGACAGTAATTTATATTACATAAAATTAGAAATAAGCTCAGAAAAAAAAGCTCTATAAAGTATCAAAAATAGGTACCAAGCTATTCAAAAATTACCAAAATGTGTTGTGTGTGTGTGTGTGTGTGTGTGTGTGTGTGTGTACATTACCAGGAACTTCTGGAGCTCTGATCAAACTGACCACATATTCATCTTTGAATGCCCTCTCTATCACACAGCCCATCATCATGGCACAAGAACGCCAATAAGCCTAGAAAAATAAAATACACACAAACAAAATACATATTAAGATTCACTAAAGTTTCTTCAATATTAAAATTTAGGTTAACTTTTGACTTAGGAATTATTTCTCTGTTCATCCTCAGCATGAAGTAATAGTGAACATCAGACTACAACATTACCTCTATGATGCAAAAAGCACAAAAGAACGAAGCACCAACTTGTGCTGTTGGCAGTTTCTGCACAAGTTATCAGATATTATAATGTTTATCAAGTAACAGATAGTTTTATTATCTGGTAGCAACTTTATCTTTAATCCAGGATAAAGGTATCTCATTAACAAACTTGTGCTAGAGTAATATATATATATAGATAGATAGATAGATAGATAGATAGATAGATAGATATAGATATATAGATATATAGATATAAACCTGTTTAAACCATATGTAATTGAGAAGGAAAACTCAACTTTCAAGAATTTATGACTCCTACCCTATACCTAATATCACATAGCACATCACTCAAGTTATTCATATTTACAGCAAAGCAACCTATTAACTGGGCTTTTCTTTACTAGCATTTTGATGCCTGGACATGCCTAATATGGGTATCCACACAATGACCTTGAGTCATAAAGAGAAACACATACCTGCACCATACCTGCCCATCTTATGTCCCATATGGGCACCTGACTTTCATAAGCTCATTACCACAGCTGAGAACTAAAAAAGTGGGATCACTTGGCTGTGTGTAGCAGACACTGTTCCAGAATGTTTCTTACAGAACCACATAACATACACGAAAAATAAGTACAAACCCAGGCCTTGAAGACAAGCAGCAAAATGCACTTCCTCATCTATCCTACTTAAATGTTTTTAATGTCTGTTGAACTCGAGTCAGAATGCCTAGATTATAATCTAGGCTCCAGGGACGCCTGGGTGGCTCAGCAGTTGAGCACCTGCCTTTGGCCCAAGGCATGATCCTGGAGTTCCAGGATCGAGTCCCACATCAGGCTCCCTGCATGGAGCCTGCTTCTCTCTCTGCCTGTGTCTCTGCCTCTCTCTCTCTGAGTCTCCCACGAATAAATAAATTAAATTCAAAAAAAAAAAAAAAAAAATCCAGGCTCCACGGTTCCCTAAACTGAAGCTACTGAAACTCTTTTTGTTTCAGTTTATCTATCTGGAAAGTGGGAATAATGATACCTATTTTTATAGGATTTTTATGAAGATTAAATGGGTCAATACCAATAAATCACCTAAGACAGTGCTTGACACATAATCAATACTTGATGTTAGCTATTATCATCCTGTCATTTTCTTAAGGGTTTCGTTACAACCTCTTTGTAATGAATACCTATTGTACGTATGTCAAGGACTAGGTCATGGGACATGATCCCTGTCTTCACAGAGCCAAGAATCCAATGCATTCAACGGTTCATATTGCAAGGCAATATTAAAATACTGTATCCAGAGATATTAGCCAAGTGTTGTAAGGCTCTAAAGAAAAAAGGGATTCATTCTGGCAAGAAGAAACTGAGAAGATTCCACAGATATTTTAACTGAACTATAAAAGAAAAACAGGATTTTAAGGGAGGAAGAGGGCAGCCCAGGTGGCTCAGCGGTTTAGCGCCGCCTTCAGTCCAAGGCGTGATCCCGGAGTCCCGGAATCAAGTCCCACGTCCGGCTCCCTGCATGGAGCCTGCTTCTCCCTCTGCCTGTGTCTCTACCTGTGTGTGTGTGTGTGTGTGTGTGTGTGTGTGTGTGTGTGTCATGAATAAATTAAATCAAATAAATAAATGAATGAGTGAATGAATGAATGAATAACAAGTAGGAAGAAAATACCCAGAGTTGAAGAAGAGCATTAATAAAAGCCAGGAGGCTAACACAGCCTAAACCATTAGTGATCAAGTCCTCTAATATGGCCAGAGCAAAGAGGAAGTGGAAAGAAGCCATGGAAGTGAAGCTCGAAAACCATACTGGATCAGATCACACAGGGCCTGGAAAGGCATGGGAAAACCTTTCAGGTCATTCCTGAAAGTTACCGGGTCGGGAAAAAGTGACACAACTAAGGATTGTGTCATTTAATAAAACTCTTACAGTACTACTCAGGAAGTCTCTAGTATTAAAATACGGAGTGGGGGCAGATGGTTAAAAAGTTACTGAAATAATCCGACAATGGTCAGAGGTTGAATTCAAGCAGTTGAGGCAATGAAATACAGAGTAACCAATAAATGTTAGTGGAATAAAGACATGGATGTAAAAGACAAAGTATATCGTCTTCTCAAAGCCAAATACAAAGAAAGGAGGCCAAGTTCAAGGATATTTTGAATTGTGAAAATGCCTAACCAACAAGCAAAACACTGATTATCTAGTACATTACAACATTTGACCTTGGCCATATCTGCACATTTCAAGCTCTGCAGCAAATAGATTTTAATAAAAAAAAGAAGAAGAAGAAGAAAAAAAACTAGAGGGAAAAAAAAGAACATAGGGGCAGAAATACCTTATTCACTTCTCCTGGATCACGATCTTTGAAAGTAAGAAATTCAATTTCACAGGATTTGGTCAAAGGCTTATACATGTCCCAAGGCTGTCCGTCCACAAGAGCCAGGATGGACTTCCTGCAGTACCACTCACTTAAATCTAGGAATTTAGAAGAATAGGTTGAAGGTCTAAATCTAACAAAACCCAAAGTGAAAGATCACATGTTTAAGTGCTACATTAAGAGATAAAACAACAGAAAAGCAAGATTCTGCAATGACCTCCTTCAGGAGAAAAAAGTCTTATATATTACATCTGTAACCAATAATAAATAATACCCAACACAACCAATGTATTAACAAAATTCCCAAAAACACTTACAAAAATCATTAAGGCTAAGTCTAATTTCAAATTAATCTGTCAATTATTAAGGAGTAAAATAATGCTCTAAGAGTTACACTTAAATGAGAACAGCGTCATGAATATACTTGGATATATGCACACACAACTTAGGTGAAAAAAAAAACATATAAACATACATCCATAGTAAATCTGGTCTAAATGGGTTTGAGGTCTTGCTCCCAAACCTCCTGTTACTTCCCTAACATGGCCTGTTCAAGTTAAATACCATTAATGGTTTTTAATTTTTAGTATGAATTCACATATAAGCCAATCAGCTCTGGTCTGTTCTTTGACCAGAATGCACTCCAACTCCAACCCTGATTAGATATTTTTCAAGTACATAGCTACTCACAGAAGTGGCAAAACTACAGGTACAGGATCTAAGATCCTTATGGAGGGGATCATGTCTCTTTTTGTTCACTCATTAGTACATTCAGAACCTAGCACCACACCTGTAATACAGTAAGCACTCAAAAGTATAGTGAATGATCAGAGGTATGAATGACAAGCGAATGTCTGCGTAGGAGTCATGCTGAGGGTGGTTCAAAGGCTTCATCTCCACATGTGAAATAGAACTATAAGAAGTATTAAATAAGGAGTAGGAAATAAGGAGTAGAAAACTCCTTAGGGCTTGCACTTTGTTTATCCTCCTCTGTCCAATAAATGTTTACAAACAAGTAAAGAACAATCGTAAGTACCAGACTAAGGTAAGATCAAGAGTGCAGACTGGCTTAAACTTTTAACTAAAACTGCTAATTACTTAAAAGGAATTATTACTGAGTTTTTCAAGTTTAAACAACGCGGCTACTCATGCATAAGTGAGCATGCTGGTGTATACATCTATTCTGGAAGCTTCCTAAATTTAAACATTACCAGTTCTATCAAAGCATTTGGTCAAAAATAATACACAGGGGCACCTGGGTGGCTCAGTGGTTGAGCGACCACCTTTGGCTCAGCTGGTGATCCCGGCGTCCTGGGATCGAGTCCTGCATCAGGCTCCCTACAGGGAGTCTGCTTCTCCCTCTGCCTGTGTCTCTGCCTCTCTCTGTGTCTCTCATGAATAAATAAAATCTTTAAAAATAAAAATAATAAAGAGAGCCCTCCCTTCCCTTCACTGACACACCAAATCACACAGAGCTTACCTCCTTGAAGCTATGAACACAACACATACTGTTGCCCTAATCACATTCGCCCCCATGCATGCATCCATTTACACATTTACTACACTCACACATAAGTAGGAACAAAAACATAACACACAGGGAGGTGACTGGTAAGTAGATAAGATTTAAGTTAGGCCATAAAGAGCGAGAAAGGAAAAGGAGGCCAAAAAAGCTGGTCATCCAAGGCCAGGGCAGTTCCTCGGCCCCAAATTCTTTTGATGAGACCCACATGGTGACTGCTCCCATTACCCCAGAGCCCTGTCTGAAAAAGGTCAAGGGGCAGCCCTGGTGGCTCAGCGGTTTAGCGCGACCTTCAGCCCAGGTCGTGATCCTGGAGACCCGGGATTGAGTCCTACATCGGGCTCCCTGCATGGAGCCTGCTTCTCCCTCTGCCTGTGTCTCTGCCTCTCTCTCTCTGTCTCTCATGATGATAGACAGATAGATGTAGATAGATAGATAGATAGATAGATAGATAGATAGATATAGATAGCAAGTCCCAGGACAACCTGTGCATTATGGTACCAAGCTGTCAAGGCCCACAGGACCCTCAGGAGCTAAAGCGACAAGTGAACCGAGAGCACGATGCTCGATAAAGAAGAACTTCCGTGAGTTCAGGGAGCAAGAACCTGGCCCTGCGTCCCCCGAGCCCGCTCCTCCGCAGAGCTCACGGAAACCGTCAGGTCTGTATCAGTCTGCATCCCGACGCGCTACTCACGCATAGCACAACTGTAAGGCGTGGAAACGTTTTTGTTCATCACAAAGACAGTGCCAGGGTCCGTTTTCCCAACGTGCTTGACTTCGATCTTCTCAGTCCGAGGAGTTAACGATAACTGCCTGGTTTTCTCTTTATTAAAGAGGTCATTCCGCATTTCTATCAGTTCTGCCGGTGACAGGCGAGACGCTGGGGATGCTGCTATCGATCCTGCGTAAAAGGTACAAGAAATGCGCACAAGTGAAAGAACGAAAAACACCCCGGGGTTACCCCAGCCCGCACTATCCTCCTCCAAGGACAGGCAGGATGGGAGGCCACAGAAATTTTAAGATGCGGTTTCCCAGCCCCCTCCCCAAAAAAAAAACGCGCTCGCAGATGAACCTGAACCTGAAACCGTATTTTTTTTTTTATTTATTTATGATAGTCACACACAGAGAGAGAGAGAGAGAGAGGCAGAGACACAGGCAGAGGGAGAAGCAGGCTCCATGCACCGGGAGCCCGACGTGGGATTCGATCCCGGGTCTCCAGGATCGCGCCCTGGGCCAAAGGCAGGCGCCAAACCGCTGCGCCACCCAGGGATCCCCCTGAAACCGCTTTCTAATATCGATCATTAAAACATGCCACAAAGCACAGAAACCCGCGGCGGGCCCGGATCCACACCTTTCCTTCAACTTTTGCTCTCTTCGCCCCCGGACGTGCCCTGCCCGCCAGTTTCCTCTGTCGTGCTCCCATCGGTCCTTTACAGGGAGAGGAGGGGAAAGGCAGCAGGAAGCACAGAGTCGGGGCGAGTCGCGGGGAAGGTGAGCAAGAGCAAGGCTGTCGCTCGGCAAGGGCCGGGACGCGGAAGCGGCAGGACCCCGGGGATGCCTCCCCGAAACGGTCAGTGTCTGGAGCGAGAAACGCGGAGCTTACTTCCCAAACCCTCAATCGGGAGCATGTGACACAGCCCGCACGAGCGCTCCAAAGGGAAACCAGGACACGGCTGCCCGGGCCGCGGGCTGCCCCCCCGCCCCCAGGGGCCCGAAGCCCCTCCCGCCGCCCCGGGAGCCCCCGCGCCCCCAGGTCTGTAAGCTCAGGCCGCGGAGCCGGCCACAGCCGGGACCTAAAGACCCTCCTCCGCCCCGCCCCGTGGGGCCTCCCGGCACCCGCCTCAGGCCCCAACCGAGCAGACAACCCTTCAAGCCTCGCTTTCCGCGCCCCCCGGACCGCGGAAACTCACTCCAGCCAAGCCCGCCACCGGGGGCGGCCCGCCCGAGGCGCAGCCCCCAGGCCCGCGCGGCCATTGCCGCCTTCGCTGCGGAAGGGACCGCCTCGCGCAGCTCCTCTCCTGCCCTCCTCCCCGGAAACTCGGAGCACGCACCCCGCGTTCCGTAGGACAGTTTTGTTCCGGTCCCGACGCTCGCGGCGGCGCGCCGCCTGCAGGGGGCGCGTTTGCGCCTCGCTGAAGATCAGTGCCGGAAAAATGAATGAATGAAGGGATGAATGAATGAATGAACGAATGAACGAACGAATGCATGCATGAATGAGAAAGAAAGAAAGAAAGAAAGAAAGAAAGAAAGAAAGAAAGAAAGAAAGAAGAAAGAAAGAAAGAAAGAAAGAAAGAAAAGATCAGTGGCGGGAGGTCGCGCCCCCGGAGTTGGGGTACTTTCCGATGCGCGCGGAAGGTGACCCAGAGATGCTGCGCCCCAGGACCACCCGGCCGCCCCCCTCCTCCGGGGGCTCTGCAGGGAAACTACGCGTCCTCTTTGGAGGCGCAGAGTCCGACCCGCGCCTTCACCCTCCTCCCTTCCACGGGTTCGAGCCCAAAGAGCTGGACGAAACCCTTGCTCCCGGCAAAGAATATTTCTGGGGAGAAAAAGTGGGGGGAAAAAAAAAGAAAAAGTGGGGAAAGACGACTTCCAATGACTCTTGCTTTCGTGGTTAGCCTGGCGGGTCACGCTGATGACCTCTTCAGTCTGGGGTGTGCAAGTTCTCAGGGTTTTTAGGGGGGCAAGTGGCCTGCGCCAGGGTTCTCCATTCATTGGGCCGTTGAAGGGAATTCTGCAAGCCCTGGAGCTCTCTTTACAAATTAGATCCGCTTGTGCGGTTATGTAGAGAGGATAGAGAGCGTGTTCAAGGCATCTGGGGATGCTGGCAGGCCGGCCTAGAGACCAGAGGGGTACAGCGGGACCAGCCTCTTGCGAGGGTGCCTGGCTGCGTGCAGGATAGAAGTCAACATCGAGGCAACAGGTGGGGAAAGTGGGGTTTGTTGAAGGTATAGAGAGCGTGCAGGCACAGACCGGGTGTCTGGGAGGCTCAGAAAGGAAAAGAGAGAGCCTCGTCCTAGCTTGGGACCTGGGAGTTTTTACTGAGGACGGTGGTGTCCTCTTAGGCATCCAGGAACCGGTTAGAACAAAGATGAGGACTCAGGTCTTACTCCTTCCAGCCAGGGGGTCTTGATGCCCTGATATCTAGCTCCGGTGGTCTGGAATTCCAGGATAGCTTCCTCGCCATTCTCACCTGAATGGAATAGGATAGAACAGAACAGAACAGAACAGGGGCACCTGGGTGGCTCAGTGGTTGAGCATCTGCCTTCGGCTCGGGGCGTGATCCTCGGGTCCTGGGATGCATCCCACATTGAGCTCCCCGCAGGGAGTCCGCTTCTCCCTCGGCCTTTGGCTCTGCCTCTCTGTGTGTGTCTCGAATGAATGAATGAATGAATCTTTAAAAAAAAGAGAGAGAGAACAGAATAGAATAAGTGTTGCCTAAAGAAATCATTAGCTCCTTGTCCCTTACAAAGACTTAAGACTATTTGTGCTATAAGGCATGCATAAAGTGGGGGTGCAGCGCCTAACAAGAATAAAGCTGGAAAAGGGGGCAGCCCCGGTGGCTCAGCGGTTTAGCGCCGCCTTCAGCCCAGGGCGTCATCCTGGGGACGCGGGATCGAGTCCCACATTGGGCTCCCTGCGTGGAACCTCTGCCTGTGTCTCTACCTCCCTCTGTGTCTCCCATTAATAAATAAACAAAATCTTTAAAATAAAAAAGCAAGAAAAGGAGCAAAAAGCAGATTTTCATGGAGTGCCTCGGTTTCCCTATCTCACTGGGGTGGAATTTTTGTCTCTTATCCCGAGCGCCCAGAGCAGTGCGAGGCACACAGTAGGTTCTCGGTAGGTAAGTGTTGAATGACTGACTGCCTTTGCGGGAAGTTCCAGCGCAGAGTCTAATTCCTATGCCATACCAGCACGTCGTTGCTAATGAAGCAAGCATAACCTAGGTGACGTCTGATAATGCTGTTTATTCAAAGTTGGCGATTGCTGTGGTTCTACTTGAGCATAAGTTTACAAATTTAGCAACCATGCCTTTTTCCGTTCCTCTCCGAATTGCAATGTGAACACACCACCACCAAGGGGCGGCAGCAGCTAAGGGACAAATACCGGGCATTGACACCCCGCCGCCCTCCCCACCACCCCGTATCTGCCCTGGGGGAATTGGGTTAATGTGCTCATGAAGTACAGACTTCCTTTTTTTTTTTTTTTCATGATAAAATTATTTTATTTTTTAATTTCTTTTTATCGGAGTTCAATTTGCCAACATATAGCATAACACCCAGTGCTCATCCCATCAAGTATAATAAATCAGTACTGGGGAGGTAATGTACAACATGATGACTGGAACAATACTGTATGGTGTATTCGAAAGTGGCTAAAAGCATAAATCCTAAAGTTTTCATCACAAACTCTGCAGTGACAGATGTTGATTTACCGTCGTAATCCTTGTGCAGTATGCATGTATTTCAGGTCTTAATGCTGTACACTTTAAACAGTGCTGTGTGTCAATTAAAAAACTGGAAGAAAAATAAGACACTACTGCCTCCATACATGTGTCTCCTTGTTCTGAATTTTATATTCACAATTGCTCAGGGAGTGTAATTACCTTCACTTTTAAAATGAGAAATATAAGTAAGTGGCAGATCTTGGATTTAAAGCCACTCGGGTTTCACTAGGGCCACCTCTCATTTAAGATCCTATTTCAAACCATGAAATATACATGTACATCTCTGTGTGATATGTCTTTTGCTTCCTCCTTAAATTTGCATACACTTACTCCCTTGAAAGATCTTTGTTCAACAGTCCTTTAGATGTTAACTCCATCTAGTTGCCTTCAGAACATTTTAGAGCAACATTTAATTAAAGCCTCATAAATTTAAGCAAGTTTAATCATAAATCAATCACAGTGGGAGCAGTAATTGGAAATCACAAGTATCATAGAAATTAACTTCGTTGGAAGGATGGTAGTGATGGTAATGTCCAACAAATGTTAAACATATGCCAATCAATCAGGGAACATATGTCAACAAACAATGTCCAACAAATGTTAAACATATGCCAATCAATCAGGGAAGTTATTAATTTTTAATTTTTGCAAACCTACTCATTCAATTGGCATAATATTCTTTATTTTCCAGAAGAGGAAACTCAGGTTTGGGGGACCTGAGAGACCTACCCAAGGTAGATCTTTGGCCAAGGATTCCCTCAAACTATTTCCTTATGCTAAATCACCCTTTGGGCTTCCTTTATCAGCTTACTCCCCAAAACTTAGTCTCACTCACTCAGTCTCTCTCCCAAATAAAAAGAATCATCAGGTCTGTGGCAGTGAATATCAAAGATCAGCCTAGAACATATTATTGTGCCAGGAAACAAGAAAATACTCAAAAGACAGGCAGAAAAATGTTAAAAGGACATGGGATCCAGCTTGGCATGAGCTCCCATTGTACAAATTCAGGACAGTTTAAATAACAAAAAGGATAATGATGAGGAATTATAACATATATATTTAAAAAGATCCATGAGTCCATAGTGATACTCAAAAATAAATGGGAGCAGAGAGGAAGTTTTCTTTACAAAATCCAGATAATAGAATAACAGAATGGGGGAGAATCACCACTCTGCAACTACTCATGTAATACTTGATTCAGAAAGGGATCACCTATGGATGCTAAAAGCAGTGAGGAAAAATTGTTGAGGATCAAGATATTCACCTAGCGTCTAAATATCACCCCACAGATTATCCCCACAAAGGGATAAAGGAAACATCATTGGAGAAATCTAGTGGACACCACCTTAACAAAGTGGTCAAAATTTATCATCGCCCAAAATGGGACAATCTGACATTATTTATGCCTCGTGGCTATGATATAAACAACAAGATGCATATGGTATTCCTACCGTAACTATTTAACCTGAATCTATGTGGAAGAGAAATCAGATATATCCAGGAAATGATACATTCCACAAAACAACTAGCCTAAGCTCTTCAAAAATATCAGATTTATGAAAGATGAGCCAAAAAAGTTCAGGAACTGTTGTAAATTAACGGAGACTACAGAGATATACAATGAATAGCCATGTATGATCCTCACTTGGGTTTTGGATCAGAAAGCAAAAAAAAAAATCCAAAGATATTATTAGGACAAATGTTTGAATACAAACTGTATGTGATAAATAATATTACTGTTACACTGTTGTATTTCTTGGACTTGGTAACAGTATCATGGCCATCGAGGAGAAAGTCCATGTTCTTAGGATACAATGTGGAAATATTTAGGGGTACAGCATCATCATGCCTGTAACTCTAAGGGCTCAGTAAAAATCAAGGGCTTGATATCTAGAGTGGGAGCAAGAAATTCAGCAAATGTGGTGAAGCTAAATGAGGTGTCAATTGTACTACTCTTTCAACAGTTTTCTGAAATGTTTCAAAATAAGAAGTTGAGAGAATAACCACAGTGGTTTTCAACCACATAAATTTGTTTTGCTCACATTGTACGTCAGGGGTGGCAGCTACAGACCAGCTGTGGCTCAGCAGCTTTATTCCAGAGTCCAAGCTGTGGAAGCAGCCCCTCACTTCCCTCTACACACACCCCCTCCCCACCACCACCAACTTGGGACTTGTGGTTCCCTGGAGGAAGGAAGGGAGAGCACAATCTGCTCTGTGTACTAGTCCTTGAAAGCTTCTTCTCAGACTCACTAGCTCTTGGTCTCACAGTTCCCTGGCCCTAGCAAGTCCAATCACCAAGCTCAGTGGCATTAGGCCAGCAGTGTATGCCTTTTTTGGGATCCAGTGAATGAGGTTATAGAATTCAAGGAGAAAAGCAACTCACTGATATCTAGAATCCAATAGCCCAGTTACCCTCCCAAGATCCGTTATTCTCCCAAGATCACCAGCTAAGTGGGAACTCAAAGATCCCACTTTGAACTATGAACTAAGATCCGTCTCCAAAGCTTATGCTTTGTTTTTCTCTCAAATTCATGGGTTTTTTTAATCTAAATATGTG